GCCGCGGAGGAGCGGGGAGCCCCGGGCGGAGGGTGGCGCCCCTCCCCCGCCAGGCCTCCGCAGGAAGGTGACCTCTCGAGGGAGCCCCGGCCAGGGACATGGGGAGCCATCCCTGTCCTCTCTGTCGTCCCCAGCCCCAACCGCTGCCCTGTGCTGGCAGAAACGTTCTGAGCCCCTACCCGCTTTTCCTCTTTTCTCCCTCGAGTGGAGGGAAGCTTTGCCAACCTGGTGGTTTTCATTTCTGTGTGCCGAGAGGACCCGAGTGACCCTCTCTGGCACACAGTGCGGGAAAGGATGGTAACTGTCAGAAGTCGGTGGGCTAGAGCCCACCCCGTGCTTTGTGCTAACTCTACCTGAAGTCCTGACTTGGTGACCCGTGCCTTCCACCCAGCCGTTCCCAGGGAGCTGTACTGCCGCTTTTATGGGGGCGGGCAAAGGGAGGCTCCAAGACTGTCATCGCCCCACTTTATACCCTTTACCCTTTTGGTGTTGGGGGAACCTGCAGTGACCCAGGCAGCATGGACTCGTCCTCCTGTCCGTTTGCTCAGCCTCCCCTAGCCGTGCTCGCATACTTTGTCCTACCAAAACCAAGCGTTGGAGCAGGTGGTTTTTTGGAACTGCAAACTTGCTCACCAGCTTGCTTCTCAAAGCCACCTAAGGGGTCCTCTTCAGCTCCTCCTGTCCCACTTCTCTCAGCCAGAGTCCCCTTGGAGAGGAGGCAGAAGGAAGGAAGTGGGTAGGGGTCCCTGCCACCACCCGGGGTTCCTCAGACCCTGGCACAAAGGCCTTGGCTGCAGGCCTCCAAGTGGGGAGGAGGGGGAGGAGTGGCTGCCTGGTCACAGTGTGACCTTCAGAGGCCCCCAGAGAAGGGCACCTGGCCCCTCCCTGCCCAATACCGCCCCTCCTGTGCCCCCTGGCCTTGGAGGGGCCTGAAGTTTCAGCTCCCCTTTCTCATTGAAGTGGGGGGTCAGGGAGAATGTCGGAGGTGTTCTGGGGGTGGGTGAGGGCTGAGGTGCAGAATCAGGGGTCCCTGAGGGGGCTGCCTTCCGGGGCTGTCCAGCTGGGAGCCTGGGAAAGGTCGTCTTCCCTGGAGAGGGGTTTCCTCCGACCTTGGCCCTGGGGCAGGACTAGGGGCCTTGGCCCCCCCGAGATGCATTGAGGGTACACTGTGGGAAGAGGAGAGGCAGACATGGTGGGCCCCGGCCCTGGTGTCTGAATATCCAGTGAGAGAAGTAGGTGGGGGGGATTGAGGCAACCGGGACCTCCAGGAATCTCTGGAAGCCTTTCTTGCTGCTGTTGGGTGCACAGGGCTGACTCCTTGACCTTCACAGCTCCTGGGGAGGCCTGGGGCCCAGCATGCTGTGGAAAGAAAGGCTTCCCTATCACATTTAGGGAAGGTACCCAGGGGAGAGGGAGGAGGGGTAATAAGGTGGGAGTGGGAGGCTAGAGCGGCCTTGGAAACACACTCCAGCTCCTGGGAGAAGAGTGCAGGGCAAATCAGGGCCTCCTTTCTGCTCCTCACCCTCCAGACAACCTGTGGGGACACCAAGTATTCTTGGGACTGAGGAGCACTGCTGGGGGAGGGTGGCGGGTGCCTTTCTGTCCTTTGCACCCCCCCAACACCAGCTCACCCTGGTATTTGTCATGTCAGCAGGAGAAGGTCACCACGTTGTTTTTCTCGCCCCCAGTCCTTCCTTCCTGTCCCAGTCCAAATTTGTCCTCCTGTTTGACCTTAATACTTACCCGTAGCTTTCAACCAGGGAACCAGGGGCCTGTGAGAATGAGGAGAGGGCAGTGTGGGGAGGGGACAGGGACCAGGGCAGGGCCAGTGACAGCATCAGCATTCTGTTTGCCTCCTGCATTATGAGCAACCCCCCTCAATGTCAGGTTAGTCTTTAACTTCTGTGCGTTCAGAGTTGGAGCAGTCTGGGGTGGTGGGTGTGCTCACAGCCTGCAGGGACCCCTGGCTGGTCCCCATTCCGCTCGGGTGCTTGGAGAAGGCAGAGGCTGTGGCCGGGAGGGTGGCACTGAGGGAGGAGGGGCCGTAGCTGGGCTTTGCGTCCCTATACCCGTGCTATGCCAACGCCTTGCTCTTTGTTTTGTCCCTAGTGGTCCCAGGCAGCGCCCATGGCAGAAGGAGAGCAGAAGCCCCGTGAAGGTGAGTCCTTGGCTCTTGGATGGGCTCCCCTGTCACCCCAGGGCCCAGTTCCTCCTTTCAGACCTGTGGGGGGAGGGGCAGAGGCAGGTGAGGTTCAAGTCAGAAAGAGGGGTGGGCATTGTGAGCTTTAACGCTTCCCTTTCCTGACTTCTCTTCTCTGTTGCAGTGTCTGCTAGAAATAGGACTTGTTGCTTTTTTTTCTTCTGCTGTTTCCAGTTATGTTTTATATGTAGCAGGAGCTGTGAGTATAGACAGGTTGTGTTCAGGGACTTCAGATGCGAAGGCAAGTGTCTCTTGTACCCCTGTTCCCAGGGGAGGAAGGGTGTTCGGTGCTCCTGATGGGAACTCCCACCTCCACTGCAGCTTTAGTCCCTTGCAGGGTGGAGAAAGCCCTGGCCGATGGCTTTGGGCGCTGTGAACTTCCCTCCTGGGCCAGCAGAGGGCTGGCTGTGGCTCCCAGGCGCCCCGCCCCCTGCCCAACCCTGAGTCGCCTGCCTTTTGTTCCGATGTGGTTTGGAGCCCGGGGATCCTCCCATTTCTCTGGGGACGCCCTGGCTTTGCCCACCACTGAGTGTGGCCTCTCTGCTCCAGCCCCAGGCCAACTCCCTGCCCCCTCCTCCAAGGAGGAGGTGGCCCTGGGGGTCTTTGTCCGGCCCAGTTTCCCTGACCCAAATCCAGTGTCTGTAGTAGCTGGCCGGTTCTGCCTCCTTCCCCACCCCAGGAGCCCTTGTCTTGGCCCAGGGCCTGGCCTGCTGCCACTTCCTGGCCGGTGCCACTGACGGGCCCCTGCTCCCAGTGCACCACCCACCCTCTCCGGCTTCCCAGTGGTCTCTGTGGTCTGGGAGAAGCAAGACAAATGGTCTTTGTTTGCTGGAGAAAAGCCTGTGTGCCATAAATAAGGAAAACCACGGAAGCCCCGTGTTGGAGTGTGTGTGTCCACACGCCCTGTGTGCAGGAGCACGGCGTCCTTGAGGCCGGGCTGTGGGGGGTTCTGGTGCGGGTCGCCCCCTCCATCTGGCCTTGAGGATTCTGAAGGTTCTGTCCCTTTAGTATCAGCCCCGTTGCCCAGGTCAAGTCTTTGCCGTCCTCTTCTGGGTTGAGCCCCAACCCTGGGTCACCTCTGTCCCAGCCATGGCTAGAGGTCGGTTCAAAAATTCTGGACGAATTATCCGGTTCAGTATAGACTTAGCTTTTAAAAAAATGAGTTTTGCAGATCTCTGGTCCAATTACTCTCTTGTGATTATGCTTTTTACCTTAACCTGTCGGGATAGGGAAGCATTTGGGGCTCATTAGCTGTGCAGAGATATAGAGCCCTTGGGGAAGTCGGGCGCTGGCTCGGGCTCCTTCCTATTCTTTCCATTTTCACACTTGTGGTCTTCCCACCGCCTTTCCCTCAGCTCTCCAGATTGTCTCTACCCAGCCTGTTGCACCACACCCCTGGGTCTCATCTTCCTTCACCTTTGGGAAGCAGAGTGAGGAGGGTGTGGTAGGGCGGTAGCACATGGGGTGGGCACTCAAGAAGCCTTGGTGAAATTCCACACTGTGTCACTCAGAATGGGAAAAGACCAGTTGTTTCCAGGGCTGGAACTGGAAGAGAAACCCTCATGTTTCAGCCTCTGTTCCTGTGTCTCTCTAAAGATCATGCTAATCCACTCATACACATGAGCAGAGGCCCAGAGAGGGGTGGGCCCGGCCCAAGGTCACACGGAGTCATGGCTGGAGCCTGGCCTCCCTGTAGGCCGGGCCATTTCTTCCCTCCTGTTCTGCAGAACTCATCTCACTCATCTCAGAACAGGCTGGGCTTGGAGCGGCGATGGTGGTGGTGGGATGTGCTGGAGAGTGGCAGATGGGGCACAAGTCACAGGAGTCCTGCTGGAGTCCTACGTGTATTCATTCTCAGGGCTCCGCCCCAGTGGCCCAGAATTACCCATTCATGCTCCAGTGCACCTCAGGCACTGCAGTCAGCCTGGGAAACTGTCTTCTCCCTGGTCTCCCTCCAGATCGGCTTCTAGAAATGCGCTGCGGCAGCTGTGGCAGCACTGCTTTTTCCATGATGCAAGCGGTTTGCCCTCTTGGGCGGGGTTATCAGTAGCTGGCAGGCCCTGCACTGAGTGCCCGCCCACTGCCACCTGCTGATACCTTCTCAGCCCTCATCTGGGGAGGGGACCGACCTGGGGCAAGGTGTCTTCTGAGTCCCGTGCATGACATAGGCTTGGGAAGGCTTGGGCATCAGAGCTCTTTCCAGCTCTGCTGCTTGCAAGCAGTGAGGCCTCTCTGTACCTCCAGCTTCCATTGTAGAATAGGACCCCAGTGGCATTTGGTGGAGGAGATTATGAGAGATGACACCTGGGTACCATTGTACAGTGCCAGCTGTAGTCAGTGCTCAGTAAACAGTTGCTGGCCTGATTGGTGTTAAGGAATGGGAGCTTGTAGAACAGCAGGGACCAGGCTGACGAAGGTGGCTGTCCTTCCCTGCAGGTGAACCTTAGGGTGCTCCCAGAATTCCCTGGGCTGTCACAGTAAGGCAGGGGTCAAATGTGACAGGCCGTCTCCCGCGGGTCTTGACAGCTCATGCGATCTATGGAGATAGGGGCTGGCCACCTTTTCTGTCCCGCCCTGGTCTCATATGTCACCCCCTCTCTGTAGTGGTGAAGTTCATGGATGTCTACAAGCGTAGCTTCTGCCGTCCGATCGAGACGCTGGTGGACATCTTCCAGGAGTACCCTGATGAGATTGAGTACATCTTCAAGCCATCCTGTGTGCCCCTCATGCGGTGTGGGGGCTGCTGTAACGATGAGGGTCTGGAGTGTGTGCCCACCGAGGAGTTCAACATCACCATGCAGGTGGGTCCCCGTAGGGGTGGGGCCAGGGGCATCAGGAGGGGTGTTAGACTTTGGAGCAGGGGGCCAGGCCATTTTCTGGGACATTCTGGGTAGGAGGAGCTTGACTCACTGGGCCCAGCCCCTTCCCCGTGTTGGGCCGGGGTGGGGAGATGTGTGGGGTCTTAGCTGCTTTGGAAAGAAGATACCTGCATTTCCCATGAAGCCCAGCCACCCTGCCTCCTCCCTGACCTTTGTCCCTGAGTTCAAGAGGAGCCTGGTCTTCTCCTCCTCCCTGGAGAGATCCTAGGGCCTCCATTGTCGGGGTGTGGGGGTTTGGGGGGGTGTTTGGGAAGCTGGAGGGACCTGACCTGAGAAGAGTCAAAAGCCAGTGTTTGGTGCAGTCTGGTGATGGGTGCATCATGGCCCAGACAGGGTGGGAGTGGGAGGGAATTCTGAGGTGGGGTGGGCGGTACTTGGGGAGGGGTCAAGGTGAGCCAAATGGGGATGACAGGAGGGAAGGGGAGGGGATGGTAAGAACCACGACCCGAATTCCCAGCCTGGCCAACCCTCACAGCCACGCCTCCCTCAAGAGGAGCAGGGGCTCCTTGAGGCCAGCAGGGTTGGGGGAGCCCGGTGGCCTTGGCCCTCTTCTCTCAGAGCCCTGGTCCCTGGTCTCCACCACCCATCCCTGCTCTTAGAACCCCTGGGCACCGAGTGACAGGAGCCCCGGGTGTCCCATCTGGGTATGGCTGGCTGGGTCACTGACCTCTGATCTGCTTCCTTTCTGTAGATCATGCGGATCAAACCCCACCAGGGGCAGCATATCGGGGAGATGAGTTTCCTCCAGCATAGCAAATGTGACTGCAGGTGAGGATGGGCCGGGGTCGGTGCTATCACCTCCCACCTTGGTGCCCTGGGCCTTTGACTTTGGTGTGTGTCAGTTCCCAAATCTGTTAAATGGGCACAAGGACTGAATGCCCCTCACAGCATTGTTAGAGGGATTAGATGAGTTACGGTAACACTTAAAAGGATTAGAAATGTGTCACTATGTCATGCATGCAGTGTTAGATGTTCACCTTTAGTAGTGTTATCACTGGCTCCATCTTAATCCTTGTTTTAATTTTCTCTCCTTCTCTACCCATTGCAGACCAAAGAAAGAAAAAGCAAAACAGGAAAAGTAAGTGGCTCCTCTTGGCTGTCATCCTGGTTCGGGGCTTTGGCCTTCTGTCTCAGGGGCTCCAAGGCCTCGTGGGGTCAGGGTGTTGGTCTCCCAGGGACTTGTGGTTGTAGCTGTGGGTTGGAGCCAGCTATGGCTGTCAGGTTAGTGAGAAAACCCTGTCCAGAGCCTGATGTGCCCCCCCTGGGAAGGTCGATGCCTTCCGGTCTGTAGGCCACTCCTGACCCCTCTTGCTGTTTCCGTGTTTCAGGGGACAGTGTGACACTGGCTCCCTGGCTTGCTGTAGGGCACCCATAGTGGGCAGAGGGAGTGGGTGGCAGAGAGGCCAGCTTTTGTGTGTCAGAGGAAGTGGCCTCCTTTGGGGGTGACTTTGGCGGCGCAGTCTGGGGATCTTGGTGCGTGCCCTCCTGTGGGGGGTGGGGTGGGCAGCAGGCATGGCCCTCTTGGCCAGGAGCGGGTGAGGAGGATGGCGTGTTGGCCACTTTCTGAGGGTTTCTCCTGCTCATTGTGGGCAGGATGGTGTGGGGAGCTGGTTCTGGGAGCAGTGACTTCCAGCCCTGGAGGGCAGCTGGCGTTGATGGTGGCCAAGAGCAGGGAAGGAGAGACTGAGAGAGAGCACCGTGCCCCGCCTGCCCGTCTTGTCTGCGCTGCTGCTCGGGACTTCAAGTCCCCAAGCTTCCACTCCTGCCTCTTCCTAAAGTCCCAGCTTGCAGGATTGCTTTGACTTCCAGAGCTCCTGGGTAGGAGAATAGGTTGAGAGAGAGAGAGACAGACAGACGCACAGAAATCCTCCTCCTCTGTCCTTCCAGCACACTCTCCTGTCCTCTCTCCCTCTGCCGCCTTCCCCTGGGCAGGCGGACATGCTGAGGTGTGTTTTCCTGGAGAGTTCTGGTTCCCTGAGGGCAGCAGGCTGTAGCCTGTCCCCCTGCTTGTTCCTTACATGCCTGCATTGCCCATGCGGGGGAGAGAGGGCTCGCCTGGGCTCGAGATCTGCAGTGCTGGTGCAGGCTTAGGAGAAGCCCTGCCCAGCACGGTCAGCCCCAGCCCCTGTGGTCCCTTGACCTTGCTACCCCTGCCTGCTGCGATGAGCACAGCCCCACCCACCCCAGTCCAGGTCGAGGCTGTGCTAGGTTTGAGGCCAGCTTCCAAGGTACCTGCTTCCCTGGAGGGGCCCTGTTCTGTTGCACTTGGAAATGTACCTCCCACCCGGACTGCATCCTTTTATAGGCCCCGACCTTCAGGGTCAGACTGGGACAGGGTTGCTGGGATCAGGTGTGACAGGAGATGGAGCCCCTGGGCCCTCCCCAGTCTCACATTCTGCCTTAGGCCTTGCTGTGGGTTATACGGCCACCCCATGGTAGCCACGTGAGGAGAAGGTGGAGCTGGGGTGCCAGCCATGTCCTCGGTCAGGCCTTGTTTCCGTTGTCCCCCATTCCTGCCCCTTCCTCTCCTAGTCTTGCGCTTTCTCTGTCTGTCTTTTTTTATTTTCCAGAAAAACAGTTCGAGGAAAGGGAAAGGGGCAAAAACGAAAGCGCAAGAAATCCCGGTATAAATCCCAGAGCGTGTGCGCGCTGGTGCCGCTGCTAATTCCCGGAGCCTCCCTGCAGCCTTTCCCGTCACCCTACCTCTCCCTCGGTTCTTCCACCCTTGTTGCCCCAGTGACTCTCTCTCACTCTCACTGCACTAATGGGCACCGATGGGTAAACTGGTGGTGGCGTTGTGGGCCTGGGGCTGGGGTAGGTGGGTGGGCCTTGCGGGCCTGAGGATTCAGAGAGGGGATCCTGGCGTGGCTGGGCACACACAGGCTTTCTCTCACCCACTGGGTGCTGGTGGCAGTGGCCTGTGTTGGTATGGGTGCTGGGCACTGGGTCCCACGCACCCAGCTGGTTTCTACCACTGGGCTTCTGCACATGTCTGGAAGCTGAGTGGGTGGGTAGGGGAGGCAGAGAGGAAGGGGCGTTGTGGAGGGAGGTGGCTTATTGTGGGCTGAAGGAGGAACTTGGGTGCGTCAAGCCCTGTGCCGTGGCCCTTTCTCATCTGGAAATTATCTTGGCTCCTCGTGGATTTGGGGCCTTTGGAAGGGAATACCATTGTAGCATGGCCCAGACTACCACAGGAGCCTCCCTAGGGTGTCCCTGTGGTCCCACTGTGGGAGCGCACAGTGCCTCTGGCTGGGCCTCTCACCCTGCCCTGGGTTGCCTCACTTTGCTGGGCATGAGCCTTGCCTGGCGTGAAGGTGCCCCAGGTGACCTCGTGGGCCTTCGATTGCCGCCCCCAACCCGGGCGGAAGAGTCAAGGCGTGCCCCTCTGGGGATGGCAGCAGTTGGGGCCCTATGGCCCAAGATGCGCCCTGCATGGCCGTCCTCTCCCTGCGCGCTCTGCCCACTTGTGCCCTGCTCTTCCCAGGCAGGCATCCTCGCCAGTGCCGCCTCTTTCCTCGCTCTCTGTCTTCTGCTGTGCTCTGCTCCTTCCAGGGTGTGGAAGGATGTGGAGACCACACGCCGGCTGGGGGGCCTCTGCCATGCGTCAGGGGTGTTGCATGGGTTTTTCTCTCTCTCTGCTGACGCTCTAGCTTAGATGTCTTTCCTTTTGCCTTTTTGCAGTCCCTGTGGGCCTTGCTCAGAGCGGAGAAAGCATTTGTTTGTACAAGATCCGCAGACGTGTAAATGCTCCTGCAGAAACACAGACTCGCGTTGCAAGGCGAGGCAGCTTGAGTTAAACGAACGTACTTGCAGGTTGGTCGCCAGAGGGTGGGCAGTGAGGCAGAGAGGGGCGCTGGAGGGAGAGAGAGCGTGCGTGTGCGTGCACGTGCGCCTGCCAGCTGCTTGCCCGGCTTCTCCTGCCTGCCTGGCCACTGCCCCCTTCTCTGCCCACCAGGCCTCGTGGGGTCGTGGGTGCTGGCCTGGCCTGGTAGGCCTGCTCTGAGGTTGCCTTGGCTGCCTTCGTGGGGAAGCTGGATAGGGTCTATGTGGTGTGGTTTCATGTGGTATGGACGCAAGCTGTGTGTTGTGTCCTGTGGTCCTGCTGCTGGTGATAGCTGTCGGTGCTGATGTTCTGAGCTTCATCTGTGCTGGTATGGAACGGAGCCCTTGCTGGTGTCCGCAACTGTGGGCTGCTCCTGGCCTCATGTTGCCCTCTGATGTGTACATGGCCTGCTTCTCAGCCCCAGGCTTCCCTGTGGGCCGGGATGGAGGCCCCTCCCGCTAGACTGGGGTTCTTGAGCACAGGGCTCTGTCTTAGGTAGAGGATGGGCAGTTCTACATACATGAAGCATTTAGCATCGAGAACCCTAGATATCTCCATCCTGTCCCAATCAGGGTGACAACCTGACAGCCTGCACATTTCTAGGTGCCCCAGGATGGGGACCGGCGGGCCCAGCATTAGACTGTGGACTCCGAAGCCCAGGCCTGGCTTGCTAACTTTGGAACCTCCAGGTGTCTGTACCTCGGTCCTTTGTCCATGTGAGGCCCAAGGAGGTACCAAGTGTATGAACACTGTACGGGTGAGGGCGAGGACTGGGGCGTTCCTAGTGCCGCTGTGGCCTTGCTTGAGGGCAGCCTCCAAGGAGAGGCTTTCGTGGGTTGGCCCAGGTGGGGTTGAGCACCCGAGTCCTGAGGCTCCTGGATCTGCTCCCTTGCCCCCAGCCTGTGTTTTTGTGATTTGTGGGTGCTTAGGGGACGCGGGGACTAGGCTGTGTCTCGGTGTGGGTTCTGTCTGTCTTGGAGCTGTGTGGGGACAGGAAGCGTGCACTAGTGCAGGGGCCCAGTCTCTGCCTCACTGTGGGGACTCAGCTCCCCAGGGGTGCCAGGGGAGACGAGGAACTTCGCACTTTAGGGTTTCTGGGGTAGTTATTCTAAGAGGGGACGTGTGAGGTCACCGGCTCAAGACCTTGCTCTACCCCAGCTCGCTATGCCAAGGATTTTCAGCTCCCCAGCTGGGGGCTTAGGACCCCACACCATAGAGAGGGTAAAAGACCATCAGCTGGTGGCAAGGGTATGATGAGAAGGTATCTGATGTCCCCTTTGCACCAGCAAGAGTAGCAAAGCCACTGACCTGTCTCCTGGCCTAGGGTGAACCTTGTTCAAAAGGACAAGCAGTGGGGCCTGGCCTGCAGCTGCCAGCCAGCTCAGGAGAGATGTTCTGTCACCCTCTTGGAGCCCAGGCCCTTGGGTCCCCACCCTTGGGAACCTCACGTTCCCAGGGCCTTCCTCTGTCCACTGGCTGCCCATTCTCCCTGCCTCTCTCTTCCTGAACCAGTCCCTGGACAGGGAACCAAAAACCCTTTCTCCGCAGGCACCTTTTTCGGTTAACTTCCTCCACTGTCACCCGTCAGCTTTGCAGTGTCACCTCAGGGCTGTTCTCCGGCACACATCCGTTCACTGCTTCGTGAGGTGTCCCTGTGTCTTGTCTCACCTCCATCACTGCTTGCACCAGAGCTCCATGAGGGCAGGGCTGGGTGTCCGTTCCAGGACTGACCTTCCTTGTCCTCTGTCCTGCTGTGCTAGGTGTGACAGGGACCCTGGATTCCCCAGGCGTGGGACCCTCCTCGCCTCACCACTAGGCTTCCTCTGCTGGCCTAACCCTCAGCCTTTATCTGTTGTCCCCTTAGATGTGACAAGCCGAGGCGGTGAGCCAGGCTGGAGGAAAGAGCCTCCCTCGGGGTTTCGGGAAGCAAACCTCTCGCCAGGGAAGATGGATGCAGAATGACCGAGACTCACCACGCCGCCGCCACACACCATCACATCGACAGAACAGTCCTTAATCCAGAAACCTGAAATGAAGGAGGAGGAGACTGCGCAGAGCACTTTGGGTCCGGAGGGCGAGGCTCCGGCAGAAGCATTCCCGGGCGGGTGACCAAGCACGGTCCCTCTAGGAATTGGATTCGTCATTTTTATTTTTCTTGCTGCTAAATCGCCGAGCCCGGAAGATTAGAGAGTTTTATTTCTGGGATTCCTGTAGACACACCCACCCACATACATACATTTATATATATATATATTATATATATAAAAATAAATATATATATTTTATATATATAAAATATATATATTCTTTTTTTAAATTAACTTTGCTAATGTTATTGGTGTCTTCACTGGATGTATTTGACTGCTGTGGACTTGAGCTGGGAGAATGTCCCTCCCAGAACGTGACAGGGAAGAGGATGGGGTGAGAGACCCTGGTGAGACCGTGTTGTCCCTTCTAGGGAGGCCAGGGTCCTCTCCCCTGCCCGGGAACGTGCAAAGCCAGGGCACGGGGGGCAAATCTGGCTCACTTCCGGGAACACCGACAAACCCAGCCCTGGCTTCCCTGAGTCACACGGACAGAGACAGATGACAGGTACGGGGATGAGGACACCGGCTCAGACGGGAGTCGGAAGCCTCAGGACACAGAGGGCTTGCGGACCCCTGCCACATGCTACCTGGAAGAGTCGGAGCCTGGCAGCCTTCACCTGAGCTCACCTGCTTCTGGGTCACCCTGGAGGCCATGGACGGGTGTCCTTGTGAAGGAGAGGGACAGTAGTAGAAGATGCGCTGGGTGATGGCTCTCCCGGGGCCCCTCATCCTCTTCCTCCCCTCCTCCCCCTCCCCGTGCAGCCCAGGAGGGCGCTGAGTCCTCAGACCATGGAAACCACTAGTTCTGTCCCCCAGGAGACCTGGCTGTGTGTGAGTGGTTGTCCCTTCTGTCCCATCCCCTCCCTCCCCTCCCCTCCCCGAGGCACAGAGAGAAGGGCAGGATCCATATGCCCACCACGGAGACAGAGAAAAGAGAAAGTGTTTTATATACGGTACTTATTTAATATCTCTTTTTAATTAGAAATTAAAACAGTTAATTTAATTAAAGAGTAGGGTTTTTTTTTTTCAGTATTCTTGGTTAATATTTAATTTCAACTATTTATGAGATGTATCTGTCCCTCTTTCTTGCTCTCTTATTTGTACTGGTTTTTGTGTATAAAATCCGTATTTCCAATCTCTCTCTGCTTGGTGACAGTCACTGGCTTGTCCCGAACAGGTATTTAATTTGCTAACACTCAGCTCTGCCTTCCCCAGTCCCCTGGCTCCCCACCACACATTCCTTTGAAATAAGGTTTCAATATACATCTACATACTATATATATATTTGGCAACTTGTGTTTGTGTGTATATATATACATATATATATATATGTTTATGTATATATGTGATTCTGATAAAATAGACATTGCTATTCTGTTTTTTATATGTAAAAACAAAACAAGAAAAAATAGAGAATTCTACATACTAAATCTCTCTCCTTTTTTAATTTTAATATTTGTTATCATTTATTTATTGGTGCTACTGTTTATCCGTAATAATTGTGGGGGAAAAAGATATTAACATCACGTCTTTTGTCTCTAGTGCAGTTTTTTTCCGGATATTCCGTAGTACATATTTATTTTTAAACAACAACAAAGAAATACAGCTATATCTTTAAAAAAAAAAAAAAAGCATTTTGTATTAAAGAATTTAATTCTGATCTCAAAGCTCCTCTTGGTCTCCTTCTGCAGACTTCCTCTGCCCCTCCCTCTTCCCTTAGGGACCTGGTGCTGTCTGAGGTCTGGGAAGAGGTCCTGGTTTATGGGATATGGGTTGATCCACCTCCTGGTGCTGGGGGCTTGAATCCTTTCATTCTGACTGTGCTGGTTCTGGGGGATCCCATCTCGCCATGCCTTGATATGGAAGGTGGGGTGTCTGGGGAGTGGATGGAGGGAGACACTGGCCTTTAGAGACCAGGAGCCCTTGCAGTGGGTCAAGCTGGTTGAGGAAGGAACCGGCCATTGCATTCAGCTATATGGTCATCTTACAGCAGGCAGCTGGGAGTGGGAAGGGGTTGCTATTGGAGGGCTGTGACCCCAGGCTTAATTTAGTTTTCCAGGACGTGTGTTGGGTTCCTTGGGTGGAAGGTGGCATCTGCGTCCTCGGCATAGATGGTCAGTGCTTCCACATCCTCTCCCACTGGCCTTCATTCTTGCAGAACACAGAAGGGTTTGAATAAATACTGGGCTGGTGGTGACTCTTGGCGGTTGCAGACTTATGGGGAGATGTCCCAAGGGTGCCATGGTGCTGTGGGTGATGGTGACAGACCTCCAGCCATGTGGTAAGGACAGCAGCTGCTCTTGTGGCGCATCATCTGGGAGGCATGTCCCTCCCACTCACTCCTCTCATGCCGCCCCCATGCCGCAGACCCGGGATCCACAAGCTGCTTTAGGGAGCATGTCTTAGTTACCACCTCATCTCTGGGACACAATACTTGACACCCAAAACTTAAAGGAGGAGAGATTTGTTTTGGCTCACAGTTTGTGGAGGTTTCAGTTCCTAGTTGCCTGGCATCAAGGTGGGACAGCATAGCAGAGAGGCCTGGCAAAGGAGAAATAGCTCCTGGCACGGCAGCAGGAGGTGGAAAGAGAGATCAAGGGAGGAGGAGGGAGGTAGATCCTGCCAGGCCATCCCCCAGTGACCCACTTCCTCCCACCAGGCTTCACCTCCCAACATCACATTTAGCTATAAACTCACAGTGGACAAATCCACTAATGATGATCACATCTCTATGATCCAATCACTTCCCAAAGCCCCGCCTATGAGCACGTGAAGCTTTAGGGAGACATCTAGATATAAACCACCTTCTAGCCCCTTTGAGGACAGTGCTGGCCAATAGAAATATAGCATGGACCACAAATACAGTGTATTTGCTTGTGTGTCATTTCATGGTGCTGGGTTTATAACCCAGGGCCTCACATGCAAAGGACATGCTCTACCACTGAGCCACACCCCCAGCCCATGTATGCATCATTTAAAATTTCCTTAGGAGCCAGACTCCTAATAGGTAAAAAAGAAACAGACAAATGCTAATAATATATTTTATCTAACCCCAACATAACTAAAATATCATTTTAACATTTAATCAATAGGACATACTATGTTTTTGTTGCATTCAATTTCCAAATGTGGTATGAATTTTAGGCCTACAATGTCTCCCAAACAGTTGTAGCTGCATTTTGAGATCTTGAAGTATACCCATCGCTGGTGGAGACCACTTTGGACTGTGTAGCTCTCAAATGAACTACACCTTTTGTCTGTCTCCCCTACTAGATAGTGAGCACCCTGAGCAGAGATTTGTGACTATTTTGTTCACTGTGTGTGCACCTCCTAGAACAGTCTGGAGTATAGTACCTGTTCAATAAACATTTGTTGGATGGCTAAGGTCAAAACTGCAGTCTGGAGCTGAGATGGTACAGGATTTCTTTGGAGATGTCAGGAGAGGTTGCTGGCTGGCGTACTGGACAGGTGGGGGCTTGAGGAAGGCCCTGCTAGAAGTCAATGCAGAGTTGGCTGGTGTGGTTGGGGAGCAGAGGATCCTTTTGCCAGGTGCCAGGAGAGAGGGCTGAGGATGGGGTTCAGTATTTATTATTGCTCTGCAGATGAGAAGCGGGAGTCACAGGAAGGATGAATAACCGACCCAAAGTGACGCAAACCGCGTACATGGCCCAGCTGGAATTTAAACCAGCCTTCCTGACTCCAGTTCTAGTGCTCTTTCCATGCCACACCACAGCTGCCCCAGGCTAGGGCAGGACATTAACAAATAAGAATGAGTTGTCTAGACTGAGGAAAACAGGCAGAAGAAAGTGGGACAGGGGGAGGATGTCCAAGCCCAGGGCTGAAATCCGACTTTCCTGTGCTGGGTAAGGCAAGGCAGGGCTGGCGCTGTCTGGGGTGTGGGGGGACTGGGCGGCGGCGGGAGGGAATGATCCGAAACCTAAGTCTGCAAGAGATTTCGACATGTGGCCTCCGAGGATAGTCTTGGAACAGACCACAGAGGAGAGAAGATGAAAATGTTGCACCCCAGTTGTATCAGACTCATGCAGGTCCCCCACCCCGGAGCCTTCCTGAGGGTCTTTCAAGGCCTAGGGAATCCTGGATCCAGGCCCATAGCCCTCCCTGTTGTCACCCCTGCTCTTCCTGAGACCCTTTCTCTTTGTCCCAAGGATCTGCCTCCCTGGTCACGGCCCTCCAAGGTCTGCAGAGTCCTGGGTTTTCCCAGAAGCCCCCACTATCACCACCACCACGACGCACCTCCCTCTCACGGCTCTTCCTGCACACAGGGTTGGATGAATCCTACAGAACTTGGTCACTCTGGGTCCACTGCACAGGTTAGGACCATTGTGGTGGCTTGTGTGCCAGTCTGGCTGCCAGCAATTCTTTCTGTCCCTTGTCCACATGCCGCTCCTCCCAGTGTGAAGGGGAGCCTGGCTTTCTGCTCTGAGCCTGGGCTAGACTTAGGACTTGCTTTGATAAAGAAGGTGGCAGAAGAGAGACTCTGGGACACTCAGGCTTTAAGAAGCATTGTAGTTCCTATTTTTGCCTCCTTGACACCATGCTATAAGGAAGTTCAACTATCTCGCTAAAGAGAAAGAGAGAGATCCAGACAGACAGACAGACTGACTCAGACAGCCCCTAGCTGTTCTATCCACCCCGAGCTGAGGCCCTGGAGATGTGATGGAGATCACTGGATTACCTGGTCCCCAGTGAACCACTCTAGCCAACAATAGGTAAGGTAGAGAGAAATCCCCTCTGCCTAGATTTACAGAGCTGTGAGCAAGGGCTGCTGTGGTTAAAGCTCTAAGGTTTGACATGTTTGTTACACAGCAGTAGCTGAGCCATCCAATTAAGCGGCCACCTCTTGGAGATTTTTTCACTCTCATCCAGACTTTGCAGATGTGCGTGAAGGCCCAAGGTGGTGGAGGGAGGTTCCAGGCTGGAAGGATGTATTCTTAACAGGATCAGAGAGCAGGAGTCTAGCTAGCCCAGGCAGGACAGAGCATTGTACAAACTCTAGAGTGAGCAAAGTGACTGTGTTCTGTGCATGGCTTTCCGAGAGTGAGTGGGTCTCACCTACAGCATGAAGGGTGAGGGCGGAGGACGGGAAGAATGGCCAGGGGGAGTGGCCCCAGGGACTGGCAAGGCAAGGCCGTGGAGTCCTTTTACTCCCGTTCCCTCCCGTCACCTGGCACTTCCTGGAGCCCCGCTGTGTGAGCTGTGCCTTGGTGTAAGAAGGTCCCTCATGCACAAGGTGGCTTTGGCATCTGCTGCCGAGAGCTGGACGACAGATGTGCTGACCGGTGCAAGGCCTGCTGGGTGACTTCAGAGATCATTCAGCTGCACTCAGGATGCTATCCACCAGGACGCAGGGACAGAGGAGGGCAGGGAAGGGAACAGCGATGCAAGGCAAAGGCAGTGCTCAGTGGAGTATGTGCGGGGATGAGAGGGGACTGAAGGGTGACTCTGAATGAGGAAGCGGCAGGGAGGGAACAGTGACCTCCAGGAATGGCCCCGTTGAGGTGCGGGTGAGAGTGAGGCTGGGCCTTGTCCCCCGGGGATGGGATGACTAAAAGATTGTCAAAGGCACTGGAGAGTTTGTCACTCAGTGAGCGGCATGTGAGCTCTGCCCCTGGGGAGCCCCCAGTGCCACGATGACGTGGCCTCGCCCTCAGCCCTCACAGAGCTCCTAGTCTGAGGGAGGAAGGACCCTGGCATCAGACTCTCTGATGCCCATGAAGATGGGATCCAGCTCTGGAAGGCCCGCCCTTGTGTCACTTGGCTGTGGTTCCAGGCCCTACGGGGCCCTCCTCCATCTGCCATGAGCCACGCATGGCTCCCCAGCCTGGCCTGGCATTTCTCCATACTTCCTCTGCTGTCCCTTACTCTGGCTCCAAGTGGGGCAGATGCCAACATGTGCCCATCTCCTGGGGCTCCTCCTCTCCCCTCTGAGGTCTGAGAACCCAATTTCCAGCTCCTTAGACTTCCTGGGGGAAGGCTGTGCCTCGCTTCACACCCCACCTGCAGCCGGTCCAGCCATCCTGGGACGTGAAGTCCCGTGGGAGGTGGGGCGGTGGCTTGTGAGGCCCACAGGGACCCCTTCTCAGACGCCCTGCAGGGGCTGCTGAAGAGTCCAATTTGGGCCACAGTATGTCTGCTGAGACTTCTGATGGGTCCAGGTTAGAATATTGGTCAACTACTTCTTGGGCCTCACCTTCCTAGTCTTCTAAAATGGGTGCAGTAAGGTCTGTATGTTCCTGCTTGGGGGAGGAATGGGTCAACCTGGAAAGTAGGTGGGCCCGTGCATTTGTGGAAAGAATGTAAGCGACCAGAACTGGGACATCAGGCTGATCTGCTTTTCCTTTCTCCCAAACCCAGTAGGGCTGTCTGGTCTGATGGGGGAGGCCCATGTCCACCTGGCACACATGGCCGGGCTCTCTGGGCAGGGCTGTGGGTCAGCTTACCCTTGAGGGGTCTAAGATGAGAACTTGGTTGTTTTAGGATCTTTGGGGACATTTTTGTGGCCCAGGGATGGGGCAGGGCCTGTGGGACTGAGGCTAGGAGGAGGCTTTCCTGAGATTTTGGGAGTGGGACAGCAGCAGGAAGATGTCTTCCAGGGTAGGTTCTCAGGGGTGGGTCTGCCTGGCCCCCTACTGCTGTGCCCTCTGTC